TATATATATATATGATCTTCTGGAATGGGCCTAAGATTCTATCCCCCTTTAAAGGCCAGCATTTCCTAATGGTCTCCTGCATAACATTAGATTGAGTCACAGGGTACAAATATTGCAAAATCTGTATGTTGCTCATTTCCTCCCTGAACGGAATTTTGATATCAGGGTATCCTTTGATTTTTACTGTACTTGTGCCATCTTGCTTTACATGTTGCCTGATGTCCTTTTTCCATCAATGGCACTGTGGTGTCCCCCAATAGAATTGATACATTCAAGGAACTCTTAGATGAGTTTCTCAGTTCACTGAATATACAGGGATATTAGAGACAGGTACACACACACAAACGCATAAGTTGAACTGGAAGGACCTGTCTTTAAACAACTTTAACTACTATGCATGCTTTGTACTTTTTCATTATATTCCTACTACACTTCCTTCTATGGCACATGAATTTGCTTATAGGCACATTTATCAGTGACTTCTGCAACTGGTGGAGACCATATTTCTATCCACCAATACAGTACTATTTCTGTTAATTGACTTAAGATATTTAGAGAATGTGTGTTGTCTTTTAAATAAGATGGTGTGTGTTGTACATATCCCTGTAGGCATCTGTCTTTACACTGTGACAGGTTGGCAGTCAGGGATCCTATCCCAAAGACAAGACCTGGTGGTCTATGCATTATTGATAGTAAAATCCAGGAATGCAGGGAGAGTTCACATGAATAGATCTCCCCACCCAGAGCAAGCAAAGCATGTATGCACACAGGTCACCTTTTGCTGTCTTACCAGCCAGCTGAGGCAGATAAAGCTTTCCTGTGTCTGCTCCGCTGCCAGGCTCTTCACTACAGTGTTACCCGTTGGAATAGTAGGGGGAGGGAGGGCTAGGGAGAGAGGAGACATTGCAGCATTGACCAATCTACAAGACCAGGGTGGGCTCCTCGGCTGCAGCAGTGCGGCGAATGCCACAGAAACTTCTCCTCTCATCTCCTCACCACCCTGCAACCAGAATGAGGCACCAAAAGGATAAATTAGCTACACATTAACCTCCCATGTATTGGATAATTGCTTGTCTACCCTGCGATGCCAGAGAATTAACCCTATGTGGCTTGGTTTCCAGTTCACTGCATGGGTAAGCGAACCACAAGGCTGGTAATATAGGGGTTAACTGGAGCCAGACTGATTCAGCCTTTTTGATGCTGCCCATGTGGCCTGGGGAGTTTGGCAGTTTTTGGTCATCGAATCAGTGCTTGCAACAAATTGTGACTTTGTGCATTGCATGTGGGTATGGGTGATGAGGATGTGCCATAGAGAGGAGTCTGCACCCAGGGCACATCTTTTGCACAGGGTGAAATCAATGCATAATTGATGAGAGCAGAGGGAGACAATCTGGGGGATGTGATGTATGCTGTTACTGTCTCTCTGCGATCTGCTGTTATGTCTCCACTGGATGTGTGATGAGATGCACAAAGTTGCAAGTGTGCAGCTGTCAGGCTTGAGGCTAAAGAATCAGATAAGAAATTCGACTAAACTCAGTGCAGGGATGCAGTCTGCATGAATAATGCATGGGTTATAAGAAAGCTAGTATTACTGAGAGGGAGCTTGTCTGGAAGCAGGGGAAGCAAGGTGCAGGTATTTGGGGGTGAGTGTCCTATAGACTGGTAGAAAATGCAGCAGTTTGCTAATTTGTGCTGTGTTGAGTGTAGCACCAATGCATATGGATGCTCAATGAGAAATTAATGTGATCATTCAGTTTAATGCAGTGTTTGCTTCTGTTTGTATAGCATCATGTCTGTGTCATTCTTTTACTAGAGGATCGATGTGATGGTCTGTGGCTGCTATTGTCATTAGTGTCTGTCTGGATGTGTAATAAGCTCCAGCTTGTATTTACAGTATTGGAGAACAAAGCTATCAATGGTCCTAAAATCCATCCATGACCTTTCTTGTGTCAGGCTGCAGCTTAAAAGACATCCATTCACCCAGATATAGCCAAGACTATTTACGGGTGACACTCTATCATTTGCTTGTGTTTCATGGTTCAGCGATGATACCACAACTCAGTGATTTTAGAGGAATGTGCAGTTGTGTTGACAGTAGATGGATAGTGAATGGCTTTGTACTTACTACAATCTGAACGTGTATACACCTTATAACTTCATATTCTTCATGTCATATGTAATCAGTAATCCTTGTAAAATGACCCTGTATACTCATTTAACTAATTCTTCATGCTTTGTGATGGCTTCATTTGTTTGACTTCCTTCTATATGTTTTGATCCACCTTTGTACATCCTGGTGTAACTCACAACATTTTATCTGGTAGTATATTGACTATGACTTCAATAAAACCTTTAGGTGACTGTTTAAGTCAGTGTTAACAATACATTTCTAATAAGGTATTATATATATAGTGAGTAGATCAGGGCTGGCCAAATCCCATGAGCAAGGTTCCTTAAAAATGACAACTGTCACTTAAATTGTGAGATTTTCTCTAGTTATTGTCAATGGAGCTGGTTTCTAAATAATGCTGCCTCCTGGATTAGACAGACTGGCTCCTGAATTCCATCTTTGTCCACCCCTGGGGTAAATGAGATAAGTCACCGGCACTCCAAACTCTTTAGTGAGAATGTCTTTGACGTCTGGACATGGTTTTTAAAAAATGTTGACGTTTCAGGGGCTTCAAGGGGTCCCTACGTCTGGCACCCCTGGAGTAGACACTGACACAGTCCTCAGAGACACTGACTCTGCAAAGCTAGCCTTACCTAAAATTTCAGGACAGCCAGACACCTTGAAGATACTTTTTCACCTGCAAATACACATTAGTTCAGTGCATGTCGCACTTTGTGCCCATTGACTATGAACTGGGGCACCAAATTATTATAAATGAACAAATAACTGGCAATTACATGGATATTTTTAACCAACTGTATATTTTCTTCTACTGAGATCAGTTTCTCTTTTTTTTTTTTTATCCATACTCAGATGGCACAAAATCATATTTGTTTTTCAACAGCACCCTCATCCTCATCCACATACCTTACATTTCTGCAGTTTATATTATAATCACTAGAAACTTTTCAAGCTTCTATCATGGGGCAGCAGGGGGATTTATGCCTAAGGCAGAAATACACTCCTGTCTGTGCACTAACAAACCACTTTGTATTATGCCCTGACCATCAGGTATAATTAGTATATCAGGGAAAAGAGCAATGAGGGTTTGCAAAGTGTGTTAACTTAACAAGCGAATCAGATTTCAATACACTACAGTCAGATCAGTGTGAGATGGATTCTGATTGGTTGCTATAGTTTACTGCACTAATGTTGGACTTACAGTGCTTGAAAATATGAGTCTTAGGTGACCCTGTCTGGACCACCTGGGTTAAAAAACTGTTTGAAAAATCAAAGGAGTTGGGTGAAATTTTGTCGGCCAAACGGTGATTGCATACAGTCAGCTGTAGTCGCTGTTTGGGTATTCTGACAGCCACGGATGCTGGCTATCTGCATACAGTAGCCAGCCAGGGAGATTCCTCCATCCCACGCTGTTTAGTGTGGATTGAGAAATCAATTAGATTTTTCTCATTCAGCTGAACGTGAGAAATCTATGTGTGTATGGCTAGTTTAGCACTGCTGTAGTTTTCTTTCTTGTAGTTGTCTTCTTAATCTCTATAAGCTCTTTTTATACCATACTATAAGCTCTTTTTAAAACCTATGTATGAAGACCTTGACTTGCGGCTATTAATCTTCATTCTTTCAAGGCATTTTTTCAAGAGTATGATTCACCTTATTGATGTTTTTGATATTCCTTCATACATTCTAGTTATTGAGCTAAACTTAGTTATTCTGAATGCTTTTATCACATAAAGAATAGGCTGCTCTGACCAAATGTTCGATTGTAAATTTAAGGGGTCCATTAGCCTTCATATGACAATTGTATAGTGCATGTCCTGAGAACAGGAATAGCACATGAACTGTGAAGGAGAAAATTGGACAGGAAGTCAGTAGAAACGGCGTCATGTGACTCCCTGTTAGTGTCTTTCTATGATAAATTGGCAATATGCTCACCTTCTTGTACAGTTGCACAAAATTCTATACATGTATGTAAGACCGGCACAGTTATATAGTAAATGACCATCCAAAAGAAGCTGTGTATGGCCACATTGCTTTGATTGACCCTGTCATCAGACCTTCAACAGCACTCTATTCATAAGATTATATGTGCATTTGACATATTTTATGCAGGTTATATTCCTGTAACTGCCTCCCTTGTGTAGACATAAAAAACCATGAGACTGCTCCTTGGCGCCACCATCTTGGCAATGATATCAACAGGCCCAGTAGACTCAAGTGACACCCTATAGTATTCCCTTTATTTCTACCCCAGTAGCTACATGAAAGGTTATGTAGAGAGGTAAGTGGAGGGAAAGACGAGCTGGGCCAGCACAAACAGCAATATGGGCTGAAAATCTCGGCTTATACTCGAGTATATACGGTATTTCCAGCATAAGTGAGAGCTATGACATGCAAGGGGGGATGATTGTGTTAGAGAATTGACCTGGGGTAGTCAATTTCAATTTGAGAGGCACATTACAAGTGAATAAAAAATAATTTGTGGAAAGGAAAAACACAAGTAAACATTTAAAATACTTAATTTTGCTGTGCTCCTACCTGCATTTTTTAAGTTGGTGACAGGGTCTTTCTAATATGCAGTTTTGTTAGGTTGGTTTCCCCTAATGCCTAGTATTTTTTCTTGCATGAAACAGATTCCTATTCATTTCCAAACCTCTAGCATGTTGACGTGGACAGGTTTATTTTAGCTGTCTAATATGTTTAGTTTTGTGACCTCTAAATACCCTATCACTACCATATTCCCTTTTATTAGACATGTGCACCAGCAAAAAATTAGTTTTGTTTTGTTTTGATTCGGATTTTGCATAATTTTTTTTTTGGATTCGGGTTCAAAATTGAATTTGTTTCGAGATGCGGATTCGGATTAAATCCGTTAGCGGTATTCTGGTTGAAAGTCCGTTTTGTTTTCGTTTCGTTCGTGGCAGCAAAGTGACATATGTGGGGGGGAAAAAACGTTTGTTTTTTTTTAGCCTGCAGAAGATGAAAAAAAAAAGCGTGAGGTTCTACCCCAATTCATACCAGACCCTTTAGGTATGAATTTGGGGGAACCTCTTGCTTTTTTTTTCCATCCTCTGCAGACTATGAAAAAAAAACATTTCTTTTTTTTTTCTAATGACACTTTGCTGCAACGAAATTTCGTCCAATAAACAAAATTTTGTCCAGACTACCGCTAACGAATTTCGGGAAATCGGAAATTCCGATTCGTTTGCATTCGTTTTAGCTGTAATTTGGATATTTCCGAAATTTCGTCCGAATTTCGATTCGGAACGAAACGAATCGCACATGTCTACCTTTTATATGTGTTTATAATGTTCATAAGTACAACACTGCTAAATACACTTATACCACTAATGAACTCTATGAAAGAGACTTATATTATATTTTTGTCTTATGGGTTTGGTTTTAAATTCTTCCTTTCACAAATCATCTAATATATA